TTCTGTACCAGAATCTGTCAAATTTGAGCTGTCCAAATGAGTTTTTTTCAAGTTTTGTCCAAAAGTTTTAAGAAAAAGACCACCAAATAAACCAAAGGATTCTTGAAGCGCTGTACAAAATATATACAGCCGTTGTGAGAACTATTGGTAAGTTTTGAGGTGATGGGTGTCGCCAAGTTTTAACTAGAGTTTAATCTTTGGTCCAAAACTCTGTTTTTTTCGATGTCACAGGCCTGAACCTTGTTTTGCTTCTTGCAATATGCTTCTATCTCACGGTACGCATGGTCAAAAAGGAGTTTTGTTTAGTTTTTGCCAGTTTTGGATTAAATCTTGACACAACACAAAATAAAAAAAAGTTATCATTAGTTCTCACAATGGCTGTACTTTCAAGCTATGTTGCTTCAAATGCTTGATCATCTTTTTTTGATTCTTTGTAAATCGGGAAAAGATAAACTGTAGTCAGTTGCTAAAGTTGCTTATGGTGTGGGATGAATACCACTGCCTGTACTGATCAGGATGCTGGGTACCTGAATGTCTTCCACAGGGGATGCTGAGTTATAGCAAACTGGTCTTTAGGATACACTTTTGTGTAAGTTGATTTTAGTGTTATCAAAATTGAAGTTGGGTGTAAGTCTTTAGTCAATTGGGAAGAACCAATTAATCTTTGAATCTTTTGTAGGAAGAGATATGAAGAAAAGAAATCAAAATAGGAGGCTTTCTAGCAAGATAGACATTCAAGGGAAAAAGCTCTAAAAAGATGATTGAGATGGATTTTTATGAAGTCTAGTTTGCAAAGGAAACAAAGCTTGATTTGATAAAAAGGGGTTTAAAGATTTGTGGATTTAATGGGATGAGGATCCTTCTAAACTTGAGCAAAATAGGTTGGGTTATATACCTATCTGTTCTGTTGTAATATGAACCTATTTCACAGAACTAGCTCAACAGTTTTGAAGCATAACTAAGGTAGGTGACATGGCATTGAAAGAAAAAAAACAAAAGCAAGAACTACTTAAGCCTGATGAGAGTGAAAACCAAGAATGGCTTGAATGTTGATATCTTAAGTTCATATCTTGAGCTGATATATCCTTAGATACAATCCAATATGGTATGCACATAGAAATGGAGAGGTGGGGCCAGGGCTTAGAGCATCCGCAATTGTGCCTGGATTGTGCGGGCTCTGGAATAGACTCCCAATCAGATGTAGGGGGTCAAAAACACACTGTTGGCACAACAGTTCACCTAAAGTTGGGGGGCAAAACTTGGTTGAGTGATCCATTAGGATCAATTATGTTTGAATGATCATATTTGAGCAATATATACAGTTGGTTTTGCAAAATATGGTTGTGCAGGCATATTTGATAGAGATGAATGGTGATTGTAAATGGCTGAAGGCACCAGTTACCTAATGTTTGTCTGCTTATTTGTAAGCACACTTGTCCTATTTCACAAGTATGCAGACTGGGACTAAACTAAGTGATTTGAGGTATGAATAAAAAGTGAGAACAATAGGGGTACACAAACTTGAACACCCGACCTAAAAACCCATGGACAAAACCCATGACAACCTGATTGTTTTTTGGGTTTTGTCCATGGGTTTTCCGCTTTCCCGTTGGACAAAACCCAAAAAACAATCAGGCTGTCATGGGTTTTGTCCATGGGTTTTTAGGTCGGGTTTTCATGTTTGTGTACCCCTAATGAGTATGAGCAACAAAGGCTCAGGACAAGTTATCTACAGGAATTTTCTCTTTCCCATAGATAATACATTCAGTTCTAACTAACCTGATGTTATTGTGCTTATTTGTAAGCACACGTCTCCTAAATCACAAGTATGATTGCAGACTTGGACTAACCTAAAAAAAATGACCAATACAAGTGACAGCACAAGTGACAGGGTCACTATAGCACTCTTTAGTTTACTTATGAATTTTTTACAATTTACGATTTATTTAAGAGGATATGAATATTGTAGTATCTCATATTCAAGCATGCATTAACTATTGCACTCTCTATCATGGCTATAATATGTAAATATGTAAATATATAAATATAAAACATATATAAATATATATAAATATAAATATAAATATAAATATAAATATAAATATAAATATAAATATAAATATAAATATAAATATAAATATAAATATATATAAATATAAATATAAATATAAATATATAAATATAATTGATTCTTGATTATATGTTCAAGAGAGTGAGAAAAATTATTCTAAGCACAAAGGCTCAGGACAGTGATTTACGTGAATTTTCAATAGTATGACAACATTAGTAACACTACAAGGATGGAAGGTGATAAAGCACTCACTCATTGTCCAATGAATCAGGAAAGAAAGTAATAATTAAAGGGGGAATATATATATATGTCTGATCATCTTTAACCACAACTGACTGATGTGCAATAACATTGGTTGGAATTCAAACAAGTGCACACATTATAACACTAAGACTATTCATTGACAGTATTAAGAAAAACCTTGATACAAATCAATTCCACATTTCATGCTCCATTACATGCTACACAACAGTCTTAATTGTCTTTCAACAGTGATGGCTCACAAAGAGCTGGCGGATGTGGAAAGCCCTTCTCAAAATCTGAAAATTGAGGGCTCTTGTTGCCGCACCCTTGTGAAGGGGAAACAGACTCACATTTTTTGGTGGGAGATCTCCAGAAATCAAGTCCCCTTAAGTGCTTCTTTTAAGTTCTGCACTTCACCTCTCCGTAGAAAATTCCAAGTTTTGGGTATGATATTCTTGATCTCTTTGCGCATACGTACCTTGTGGTTCATGTCCAGTGTAATGAAAATGTGATGAAATTTTTCAAAGTTTATTGCATGCAAATACAGACAGCTTAGGTGGTCTTAGGGCATAACAAGAAGACATAAGGCCCTTTTTTGACCTCAAGCCACGCAGATCTGTCCGTTCCTCATGAAACATATAAGAGCATCTCCTATCGTCTCGGTAAACGGCTTCGGTACGGTAAATTTTACCGTACCGAGGGTCAAAACTCCCAATCGTGTCAAAATCACGCATCGGTACCCACAGAATCTGTAGAAATTCTGTAGAGGTCCAGTAAATTTGCTGGACCTCTACCGATTCTGCAGAGGTCGGTATCTGCAAATCTGCTCGACTTCTACCGAGCCGATCCTACAACTCATCCTCAAAATCAGTCCCACTCTATCCCACTACACCTTTATCACCATCAAACACCAATTTCATCTTGTAAATTCTCCGTTTTCTGTGATCAATGGTTTTCAAATTGTCATATAGATAACTTGGTTGTTCTCTAATCGATCTTTTTCTAATCGATCTTTTTTTAATTGACTTTTTTCGATCGTTTGTTTTCAGCTCGATTGTTTTCAACTCAATTGTTTTCAAGTCAATTGTTATGAAATCAATCATCTTGTTTTCAAAGTGATTGTTCTGAAATCAATTGTCATCAGATCAATTGTCTTTGCAAACTGATTGTTCTCGGATGGATTGTTGCGTGATAGAACATGAGATTTGCAGTTTTTTTTACCGAACATACGATAGTGGCAATGAGGTGTTTCTGTACAGTATGTACTGTACTTTGTTTGATATAATGCAACGATAGTGGATTTCCACCGTTCTGTATCAAGTGATACCGTACCGAGTGAGTATGTACAGAAAATTTACAGAAAATTTACTCAAACGATAGGAGATGCTCTAAATACTAGCAGATGTACAGTCGTTCTCAGAAATGTTGGAAAAATGCAAAATCTCGAGCTGAGCTCGGGGTCCGTGCGCTGAGCAGTGACACACAGATACAAACACTGACAAAAACTTTGATTTTGACAGGTATCTCAAGATGAAAATTCAATTACTTTCCATCATACCTCGATGACCAGACTACTATCTTGCCAATGGCCAGGCTAACGGACCAATGTCTTCAGAAAAACGGTGAAAACATACGATTTCATGGTTAAGGGGTTGTAACACGAGTTGAGGATCAGAGGAAGGATGGCATGGAGAGGACACAAGGGAGTTGAGGTTGGTGAAAGGGACACTGATCTCCACTCGACAGCTGCCATGACTTTTCCGTGACACATGTCATGAAAAAGTCGCCTCCTCGGGACCACGACCTCAGCTCAAAATGTTGGATTTTTCCAACATTTCTGAGAACAACTGTACAAAAAGTTTAAGAATGGCTTGCTTGAAAATTGAGAGTTTCTATGTTCAGTTGAAGTGGGCAAGTTGAAAAAAGTACTAGAGGGCACTTAATTGGAGCTCTCTAGCCAAAAAACGAGTCATATACATAAGCCCCTCTGCCAGGGCGCGGCGAACACGCAAGAGGGGCTCCGTTAAACTTAGCGCTCTCAACATCTCAGCCCTGGTTGTGCGAGGTCTGTTGTAGCAATTTTTTGCGTTTTGATTTGACCCCCTACAACCTCAAGCAGCTGTGATTTGACCTCGTATAGCTGCTTTGCACAGGCAGATAGAAGTACCTGGGGTGATTCCGAGTGATTGGTTGTAATAAACTGAACAAGTATCCACATACAATATGCTTTACAAACTTTATCACAAATGTTTGACTAAATTACTCAAGTTTTGCGGAAGAATTGGTGCAAGGTTATGAAAACGAGTTGGGCACCAACACAGAACAAGTGTTACCTTCGAGAAGAACTTAAAAAATATTCAAATCAGGTTCTGCAAGAACAACAAAAAGCAGAGACGTGACCGTCTTTATGCAAGACTAGAGAAAGTTGTATAACAAGTATTGTGAAGTAAAGAAATATCGAACAACGAAAGAAAAGACTGCATATGAAAGGAGCGGACACGGCTAAGATAAAATTGCATATGGTGATGGGCGAGCTTTGAAAAATCCGACAGGACGACACTGGAAGCACCAGAACCGATGAAAATGCTGAATTGTCACTGGGAAGGAGCCTCAGTAAGCATCTTATATCACGGTTTTGAGGCTCACGAGACCTGATCTTACCAAACTTTATTGAGGGAGCACTGCTTCATCCGAGGAGATGGGTGAGCCCTTGCAATGGTCCCCCTTGCAATGGTCCGGCCGCAGTACCAAGCAAGGGTCCCCATGGATTTCCGTGCTTGGCGATGGCGCCTCCCAAGGCAGTGTCCCCTAGGAGTCCAGTTACTAGATCCTGTCGCTGCTCGGGACCGCAAAATCCAACGGTGCAATCTTGCTGAGGTGCATAGCCACGATCACAGACATATTGCTAACATAATAACTTGAGTGAGAAATTCTTAACGATATCCAAGGAGTGATCCGAGTCCGACTTACTTGTAATTTCGGCTCTCCAGTAGTAGTCTAAGAATACAAGGGATCTCAGTCATCAAATATGTGGAGAGGGTTATGATCACATAATGTAACTCACTAATGTGGTAACCTCCTTAAGAAGCATACCAACTCGAGCTTGAGGGTTGACCAGCGCTCGCATAAGAAGTTCCACGTAATTTGGGATGCCCCCAGCAAAAGCCAAGAGGTCATTGACTATTCGAACGCTTAAATGGATTAGCATCCCTTTCAAATACTCAGATAGCTGGAATCTTGGACGCACGATAATGGCCACAGAAACGACCTATGAAACCCATCGAAAATCACAAGTTAGCGTCACTTCTACCTCATTTGGCTATTCATACGAACCACTCACGATCAAACGTGGCCGGAGTGGAAGGTCTACCATTTGTAAAGGCATCGAATGCTATACCATAAGCTACCATATTTACAGGTAGGCCACTAAATTGACCTGATCATCAAAAACATATTTTCTGGACAACTAGTTGCAAAGGTGGACTTACAAATGGTCAACGACCGTGCCAGGGCACACTTTTTGAATAAGCATGTTTGATGCACCCGCAAGGAAAGACACCCCCTAAAAGAATGGGTTTCGTTAAGCGAGCTACACAACACGTAAGCGATCCAGGTGTACTGACCGACGGGCTATCGCTCTGAGGAACGACAAGGTCATCTTGTGCGGTGAAGATGGAGGTGGTTGGCACATGAGCAAAGGCTCCACTTTCTCTGTCCCTACCACAGGTAAGAGCGCGAATCGCTTTACTGTTCTACATAACATCCAAGCATAAGTTAGAACTATCGTTTATCGGAAATATCGCTCTCAACTTACTGGACTCATCTGTAAGAGGGACTTTTCACAGCCGCCCATCAAAGCTGAGGGCACACATCCTACCGCAGTGAACGTTGTTCCTTTGAACACCGCGGCCATAGCCACGGAGTTGAACACCTTTTGACGAGCAGAACGGAAAAATGCTGTAGTAACACACAATAACATGAGCAAGGCACGATCATAATTCTAGGATGTATTTTTGATGGATGCGGAAGAGAAGGTACGAACTTAAAGCCCATTGCGCCTGAAGTTGCATGGTTTAAAGACCAAAGACACCAACACGAATGTGGGTTAGAACAAAGTTGAGTGAGTGTTCAAAATGAGAAACGAAACGTACATTATATCCACCTTGACTGTAACTGAATAAACTGATTCTATATCCAGTCGCTGGTGACCTTTGGGCAAGATACAAGATAGCATAGGCTATAAACTCGGCGCTGAGCTGAATGTCCCCCAAGGAACGCCCTTCATATAGCGGGGAGATAGAGGGGGCGAGCACCAATCAATGGGAAGTCAGAAGGATCAGTGTTACAGATTCAAGGCCTTACATGGAAGATCCACGTAGCAGAGGTCGAACCCAGCTTGAGGTAGACCGATACCAAATGGACTCTGTGAACCGCATCGCAAATCAATAGGTGAGCAGCAAGTCTATAAATCAGATCACAGTTAGGAACAAACCTTAGTATAAGTTTGGGCAGCATCGCAAGCTGGAAATGGAACATATCAGTCATAGGTCTAGCATGTCACCACATGACGACTCACTTGTGCAAGGAACCATCAAGAGAATCCCTAAGAGAGGTCATGATTGTTAACAAGTGGTGGGCAGCACGGAGAATGTTGGTGATGATAGATACTTCACCTTTTGGACTATTCCTGATTCCATGCGGGCAGCTGATTTTTTTTTCGTAAGCAAAACGACCTTGAGTCTAGTCCGATACCGCACGACGAACAGCGGCGAAGGATAGCCCGTAAATCAGAGAGGATCAGAATCATCACTCGATGTCAAGGTCTAGTGGATAGTGCTAAGCTCACAAATGGTGCATCGCCCGGTGCCGAGGGTGGGATTGGGCCGTCAGAGGGACCACAGGGGTTGTAACTGTTGCATTTGGGTCAACAACCTTGTATCGCGATTGGAAATACATATGAAATTCAGGTAGGAATCGGGCACTCACGGAGGCACACCGTTTAGGGTTCCATGCAAAAAGCTCTCGTTTCCATGATCATCATTGCCGTTCGCCAGCAAGGTCCCGGTAAGGGTTGATCGCCTTTGCGGCGAGGAAGTTGAAGAAGTACTTTTATCAGCTTTACGTCGAAAGTGGTTTTTGACTACATGATCTTGTGCGTCAACTGAGATTAACGAGAGCAAGAGGGAAAACGTGGATGCAACCACGATTAATGCCCTTGCAAGCATGTTGGATGAGCAAGTAAAGATTGACTAGTGGTTGGTTGAACGCTTTGAACAAAATAATGAAAGATAACCGAAGCCCAGGGGGAATGGCATTGGTGATGCTCCTTGCCTTTTATCGGCCTTCTTTTTCAACGCACCGAGTTGAGAGAAGCCTTTAAGCAAGTGTGAGACAATCAAGGAAAGCCTTCGAGAACATAGATTCATCACGGAACCATTGAAGGTACGCAGCTCTATTATTGAGTTGATAGCATTTCAACTACTCACCTTTAAACTAATGTCGTTAAAGTGTTCAGAATTTGAAATACATTATGATTGGTTCCGCCCTTTCGGTGACCGAAAAGGCTTGAAGATGTCATTCCATGCCGAGAACGGTCAGACACGGTCGGTGACGGCCTTCACAAGTTTCATAACACCTTCCGACTTCGCCATTTTGCGATAACGTCTTATGTGAACGCGTTGTTCGATCTTCTTCGCTTACAAATTCCTCGGAGAGCACCTTAGAGCATCTCCAACGGGCCCCTGTAAACGTACGGAATCTGACATACACGTAACATGTATTTTACGTGTTCAGGATTGGTTCAAAAAACGACCATCCAGCGCGGTCTGAAAACGTAACAGACCACCAAACGTGTGAGCCTTAATTTCCGGCAAAAGCGTTTTCACACGCTTCGTACTTCATATATGAAGTACCAATCATACATTTGCAGCAGACAGTATTGAGCCAGTATTGGACACAATACTGGCATACGTGGTGACATTGAATTTATCATCAGACCATTTAGGTCTACTACCTTTGCTAAAAAGCTTGCCCGGTTCGATCGCGAACAAGAGACAAGAGAAGTTGAATTTGGCCGCAGCCTGCTGCGAGGCCGCTGCGCAACTCGTCAAGATCCCAAATTTGGCCGATCACAAATTCTGAAAGAGATCGACTTCACCCGTGGATCTCTGACTTTGGGATATGTTGAGATCAAGCATAAAGCACAAATATCTACCTCATCATGCTGAATTCGTGCTCACACTTCTATGCGATTTCTATCGCGCTGCGGGTACTATGGAGACTAGCTTTAATCAGGACTACAGGAAGCGATTGTAGTCGAACGGCTTGATTCAGTGTGAGCTGATAATGATAGTGCTCTTGCCAGCATGGGATCAAGGCCGTTCGACTGGACTTTTTTGCTGAAACTTCGAAATGAAATCAAGGCATCTTTGACATGTGTCAGTACAATCGTCATCCTATGGTGACCTCATTTGAGCTCTTGACTGAGCAAGAAGAACAAAAGATTTTCAAAAAAAAGGTGCTGTCCTTTTTTGACTTGTACTTTTCATCTCATGAAGCCAAAACAAAAAAGCACAAAAGCCTATGAAGGCTTGAACGCACTACTACTGGTTGAGTCGACAGCGTGACCATAACCACTACTTCAAACCATTACACCAGGAGTGCTATGGAACACAACGGCGATTTCCATTCTCGATAGCACCTAATCAGAGCTGCACTTGACTGTATGGCTGATCTTGACATATCAAGCTCCAGATATGCTGTGAATATCATCATAATGTGTCTCAGAGTTGGTTGAAGTCAGAGATCCACAGGTGCAGTCGATCTCTTAGAATTTGTGATCGGCCAAATTTGGGATCTTGACGAGTTGTGCAGCGGCCTCGCAGCAGGCTGCGGCCAAATTCAACCTCTCTTGTCTCTTGTTCGCGATCAAACCGGGCAAGCTTTTTAGCAAAGGTAGTATCATCATTAATCCAAGGAAAACGCTTGATTGTGATCGAGCGACTAGAAGCAATTTGGTAGCTTTTGAACATGATTCCACCACGCACCAGCAAGGGTATAACCAACCTGTGCAGTATATTGATTGAAAAATGGTCAAAAATTAATCATTTGGTCACCCTACAAATGATATATAAGTTTGATTAATCTTCTCCACCAGGTCCCACTGTTCCTGTTGTCGTTGTGTAATTTTCAAGTATATAGTTTACCTTTACTACAGTTCATCTCTACAATCATTAACATTTTAATACCAATCATAAATCTTGGGCTGTGTTCAATCTGAATTAAGATACTTCAATTTTACTTCTTTTGTTTTGATTTATCAACTTGGTTCTCTAGCCGAACACTTCTATTCTTCTGTTATCATAACCTCTACTCATTTTACCATGGAGAGAGACTCAATCACACCTGGACGTCAGCAGAACTTTGGTATGATGACCTTTGACCGTAGTCGTCAAATTGAGAATCCTGATATTCAAAGCAACAGACCCCACCGTAATGGTTGGTTAATGTTCATCTTGTCTCAAAGTTTGCGTTAAATGTAATATCTGATCTGATTTATTTGTAGATCGGCAAGCATCTGAGCATCCTTTCCAGCTTCGCCAACAAGTTATGTCTTCCACTCCCACTGGCCGTGACGACTTTGATGCGCATTCCCAGTACAGTAATCGAAGATTTTGAGAACGAGAAGATTCTCTTGCTGCTCATTCCCAGTACAGCAACCAACGATTTTTTCGAGGACGTGAAGACTCGATTGATTCTATTTCCCAGAACAACAATCGTCAATTCTTTCGAGAACGTGAAGATTCGGTAACCGCCTATTCGCAGAACTTCAATCATCGTTTATTTCGTGATGAGTCTGTTGACACCACCTCCGATATCAGTGATCACCGATTCAATCGTGATCAATCTGTAGCTTCCACCTGTGATTCCCTCCCTACTCAAACCCAATTATCCGCCCGCTCCAACCGAATATCAGACTGGGATCCAGCTTCTCCAATTAGCCAACAATCAATTAAGAAAAAATCAAACAACATCATTACTACAAAGTCTAGCAGCGGACGCGGTTCTAACTTCAACCAAAGCAAGCTAGAACAACTATGTAAATCTTGGCTAAACATATCTGAAGATGCTATAGTTGGGAATGATCAGAAATCCACCACGTTCTGGCAGAAAATCACTGATCACTTCAATGCTCGAGTGGAAGATGAAGATCCCAAGCGCTCGCTCAAGTCCATTCAGACTCGATGGGCCACTCTGAACAAAGCTATGTCTCGTTTTGCTGCGTGTGTACAACAAATCAAAATGATCAGAGAGACGGGTGAAACTATCGAGGATCAGTTTCAGGATGCTTTAACCTTGTATGCAAAAGATGTTGGTTCAGCTTTCACGAATGTATCGAGCTACAACATTGTTAAGTATTCTGCTAAATGGACCGACAATCCTCAGTACCTTGAGTTTTGTGGTAAAAAGAAACGGGTTTCTGAAAGCTTTTGAGATCTTTATGTCTTTATTGCAGCAACAATCACATATATAGATTTCAAACAACTAATATAAGACGTTAGTAAAAGAAATAAAACAGACTTTAAAAGAGACATGTAGACAATGATCAATACCTAATATAAGATCAACACTAGTAAGAACTCGGTGAGTGTAAGTGACTTCTAGGAATATTGGATGATCCCTACTATGTCTACAATAAGAAACATTAATACATATGTTTTATATTCTTTTCTTAGCAACCATCAAAGAATCTAATTACCTGAAAACAATAGATAGGTAGCAGACTCCTCCTGCAGTCAGTTACTATCAACGAGACTATGTGTCGTGGTGATCTAGTAGTTGTTGTTTTCCTAGATATCTTTGATGGGTAAAATAGAGAAATTGAGAATAAATGAAATGAGAGAAAATGATACGAGAACAAATCAAGAAAGAGAGAAAACATAAATCATAAAGAGAGAGAGAAGTTAAATCATAGAAAACATCAGTAGGAGCTTAGGTCAAAACGTATGAGAAGATATTGACGCATTTAACCATTGCCAATTCCATTCCATTACCCATTACATAATTGATCATTTGACGTAGTAAACTTCAATATATCATTGACCTCTCACTGGGTATGATTTCAATTACACAACACTCCTCCTAAATCATGCCTTAGTGAGTTTCAACTGATTCATAGCTCTTTCATGTTTAACCCGTCCTAAAGGTTTAGTTAATACATCTGCAATCATATCATGAGTTGACACTTGTTCCATACTTAGTAAATTTCGAGATATGAGATTCCGTAGATATTGATATCTTACTTCAATGTGTTTAGAATTTGGGTTGAGTTGAGCTTCCTTACTGATTATAACAGCACCCGAGTTGTCATTATGTATCTTAACGTTTAGAGGAGGTTTCTTCAATTTGATGTTAAGACTGCTTATTAAAATTGATAACCACCTTAACTGCTTCGCACATTTATTGGAAGATATAAATTCTGCTTCAGTGGTTGATTGGGCAACTACAGATTGCTTCTTAGTCGTCCATGAAATCATATTACCAAAAAGAGTCACACAGAACCCAGAGGTTGATTTCTTGGTTACTAACGACGTCGCATAGTCAGCATCCGCCCAGCCAGTCAGAAGATTGTCAGAAGCTACAGATTTCGTGTAGTGTAGCCCGATTCGTCTTGCTCCATTAAGATAGCGCATAAGATGACGAATTGCTGACCAGTGAGACAAAGTTGGTTTGTTGTTAAATTGGGAGAGTAGATTGACAGTGAATAGTATATCAGGACGAGTATGTAAGGCTAGATAGCTAAGCATTCCAGTTGCCTTGAGATAAAGACCCTTGTCAGCATCTTGAGCCGGAGTAGCAACAATAGCATGTAGATCCTGAGCGGCTGGAGTCTTGACTGGATTGGAATTTTCCATCTTAAGTTCTTTGAGCATCTTGACACAAAAGTCTTCTTGATGTAAAATGACTGAACCGTCCTCCTTCCAGTCAAGCGTATAGCCAAGATGTCGTGTTGGCATTTCCTTTGTCTTGAGTTTGTAATGCGCACTTAGCCGGGTCAAGAAATCTTGACCTTCAGCCCTGGTCCGAGCCACCCCAAACCCATCATCAACGTGCATATGAATAAATGTTGAATAGGAAGAGTTAGAGAAGAGAGACTCGTCGCCTTCAGTCGCATTGAAGTTCAAAGACCTGAGAGTATTGACCAGATGTTCACGCCATTTGCGAGGCGCTTGTTTGGTACCGTACAGGGAACGCCTGAGTTTCCAAACTTTGTGTTCTTGACCTTTAACCTCAAACCCACTGACTTGAGAAACGTACACTATAGCATCCATATCACCATACAAAAAGGCCGTTTCGACATCAAACTGAAAAACGTACAGGCCATGCTGCACCGCAAGCGCTAGCAAGACTTTGAATGACTCATTTCGTGCTACGGATGCGTAGGTGTCGAAATAGTGTAGCATATGAATTTGATGGTTTCCCAATGCAACCCATCGAGCTTTAAAACGCTCAACCTCACCAAACTCGTTCAACTTCCTGGTGAGTCGCCACATCCCCCCAATAATAATTTCACCCTTTGGAGGATCAACCAACTCCCCAGTGCCACGCGACAGCAACGACTCAAACTTGTCCAACATCGCTTTCTTCCAATGCTGAAGTTCATCCGGATTTGACAAAGCTTTATCAACGGTTGTTGCCTCTGCTAGGAGTATTTCACCACCTTCACTTCCAAGCACCCTAGCGCGAGACCTTGTAACCCTAGCACCGTCCGATTCAAGTATGTTATCTTCATTGATGGCAGATGATATGTCGCGAGGTGCAGTCGTAAAATTTGGAACAAATGCATAGCCTTTCCTGGGTGGTTGTTTGGGGGAGGAACCGTCTGGTTGTTCAGGGGAGGGACCGTCAGGTGTTGAATCTCGAGGAGAGGGCTCTTGATGTCTTCTTGACGATTCTTGACCTTGTGAATCTTGTCCACTAAGGTCCTCCTGAGGATCGTTTCTAGAACCATCCAGTGAAGGATCATGAACTGAGACGTCGGGATCCGGAGGTAGTTCTACTTCAACTGGAAAAGACCTTGGAACAGTTGCGGGAGAGGGACCAGGCATTGAATTGACTGCCTCTCGAGGTAGAGTTGAGGGCGGCTTTCTGAGTAGTTCGGGGTCGGAATAATTGACAGTAATAGGAAGTGGAACGAAATCACGACTGATGATAATATTTCGGGATTGTGTATCGAAAAATCGACCAGCATCAGAATATGGCTCATACCCCAAGAAAAGAAGTGGAACACCAATAGGAAAATTTTTTCCATGAGTGGTTGACTTCACGTACGTTTTCAACCCAAAAGGTAAAGTCTTGCTGATGTCACGTATTGGTTCAATTGAAGAGTTGACCGACGCTAGAACATCCATTGCACACTTCCCATTAAGGCGACTTGTAGGTAAAATATTGATGAGGTAAGAGGCATATTTTGCTGCTTCATCCCACAAATTGATCGGTACACCAGACTGAGCAAGCAGACATCTCATTTTGACTAATAAAGTATAATTGAACTTTTCAGCAACACCGTTGGTCTGAGGGCTATTAGCAGGTCCTCTTTCAACTGATATACCCTGCTCTTGAATGTAAGTCATAAATCGAGTTGAGCTGAATTCTCCACCTCTGTCGGAATGTAGATAGGCTGGTGTTATGCCTAATTTATTTCTAATCTCCTTGATAAACGACATAAGACATGATTCAGATTCTGATTTTGTCTTCATTAGATATATACAATTAAATCTAGAGAAATCATCAATTATTACTAGCACATAATTCTTCCTAGCCTTGCACAACACGGAGACTTGAAGGACATCAAAATGTAAACGTTCAAATGGTTTTGTTGACATCGGAAGAGGGTGATTGTGAGGTCTGGCTTTTAGTTTGCATTTCACACAAATTTCACAGTTCTTTGACGATTGGAAACTATTGACTTTGATGTTTCTGAAGACCAGAAATTGTTTGAGATATTCATCGGAAGGGTGTCCAAGAATAATGTGCCAATCCGTCAAAGGTTTGATGCTTTGAATATTGTTAACTTCACTCCTTCCTTTAGCAACAAAAAGTTTCCCGTCTCGAGGGAATTTGAGTATTATGCGATTTGCCTTCCGTATTATAACACCACTCGGTACATGATGAATGGTTAAACCATGATCTTCTAGTTGAGATGCGGAGATCAGATTTCTAGGTCCAGCGGGAACATAGAAGACAGGATAGATGATTTCCCCTCCTATGCTCATTTTCCCGACATGAGTAACAGTTATAGTACCACCATATGTATTCAATACTCTGAACATAGGCTTCGGGTCAATGATAAGACCAAAGTTGTTGACAGTTGTGTCAGTCGCCCCCGAATCGTAAGTCAAATCGAAACTATCAGAACGTATAGATGCAGATACCGCAGAGAAAGATTCAATCATGAAACATGATCCGTCCATGGTCTCATCCTGATTGTTGTTTCTAGAGACCGAATTTGCATTCATTGATCCGGAATTGTTTGATGGATTCGACTTCATTTGATTTTCTAAACGATTCAGTCTTTCTCGCATTTCTCGAATTGATTCCTGATTCTGATCCGATCTCTGGTTTCCAAATCTGGTTGGAATTATTCCTCTAGGCCGAAAGTAGCCATTGTTTGTTTGCGAGGAAGAAGATGGATTAGGAAATTGAGGTTGAGGATTGCGAGATAGAATATGTTGATTTCTGGATTGACTATTAGGAGAATTTTGATTCGAAGAGGAAGGCTTCTTGAAACGATTGAATGCTTGATTTCGTTGATTATGAGCAAAGTTTACTGTCATATTAGATTCGACATCGTCTCGTTGATTTGCTTCCAGCATCATACTTTCATAAACACTAGCATATGTGAATGGTTCCGATTTATAAAGAGTTTGTATGAGAGGGGTTAGAGATTCATCGGAATTGAAAGACGACAGAAAAATGCAGGCATTAAGACCGGTAGACATCTTAGCAAAATCAGGCATAGATGCTAAGGAGGTTCCGAGTGAAGTTATCAGACTATTGAAATTAGAAATGTGTTCCTTCATCGAAGTTCCCACATTTTAGACAGTGTTAAAAGTCTTTCGAAGTTTAGCTGAGACGGTAACAATACATAACATTCCACATGCTCTTCCGAGGGCTTGATAGGTATGCCAGAAACTCGGGGAATTATTTATGATTATATCATGAAGGTCTGATTCAACAATGTCCCATAGGAGAGAAAAAGCCCAAGCATTTCGGACACGATAAGTTTGAGTTTCTTTGTTGTCCCGATTCCAGTCAACATCTAACAGTTTATCAAAACCTTTGCTGGTTAAAACGCTGTCGACCATGATCTGCCACTTTGCCCAGTTGGTTTGATTGAGTTTAAAGAATCTGAATTTTGAGACATCGATTCCAGTATCATATTCGGAAGAAGTTGAGGAAGTGTCCATATCGACAGAGGAAGACATATTCGATTGTATCTAATACTATAAAGTGAATTGTTGCCAAGACTAGACTCTCGCTACCATGAAAGCTTTTGAGATCTTTATGTCTTTATTGCAGCAACAATCACATATATAGATTTCAAACAACTAATATAAGACGTTAGTAAAAGAAATAAAACAGACTTTAAAAGAGACATGTAGACAATGATCAATACCTAATATAAGATCAACACTAGTAAGAACTCGGTGAGTGTAAGTGACTTCTAGGAATATTGGATGATCCCTACTATGTCTACAATAAGAAACATTAATACATATGTTTTATATTCTTTTCTTAGCAACCATCAAAGAATCTAATTACCTGAAAACAATAGATAGGTAGCAGACTCCTCCTGCAGTCAGTTACTATCAACGAGACTATGTGTCGTGGTGATCTAGTAGTTGTTGTTTTCCTAGATATCTTTGATGGGTAAAATAGAGAAATTGAGAATAAATGAAATGAGAGAAAATGATACGAGAACAAATCAAGAAAGAGAGAAAACATAAATCATAAAGAGAGAGAGAAGTTAAATCATAGAAAACATCAGTAGGAGCTTAGGTCAAAACGTATGAGAAGATATTGACGCATTTAACCATTGCCAATTCCATTCCATTACCCATTACATAATTGATCATTTGACGTAGTAAACTTCAATATATCATTGACCTCTCACTGGGTATGATTTCAATTACACAACAGTTTCAGATAATGATGCATCTGAAGATATTATTGACCTGGACGCCATCCCAGCTGGAACCTCGATCAGAGGTTTAGTTAATACATCTGCAATCATATCATGAGTTGACACTTGTTCCATACTTAGTAAATTTCGAGATATGAGATTCCGTTGAATCTAATCAAACTCAAATCCTCGCCAACTCAACTTCTACAGCCAATTCAGCTGACCGCATTGCAAATCAATTGGAAAGGGCAAGTTCTTCACTCGAAGCCATGCTTGAGCTTTCGCTCCTGCAGACTGATACCTCACGTCTCAATGAAAATGTTCGCGCAGCTCTTGAAGCAGACAAAGAGAGCCTGTTGCTGCGCAGGGCGGCTCGTCGCACTGCTGAATGATGTGTTCGATTTGGCTATGTCTAGATTTGGTTTGATTGAAAACTGCTTGTGCTCGTGTTGTTTTTTGAGATTCTTCCGAACAACCAAACTGCGGTTGTACTCGATCATCTTGGTTGTATTTGCTGAAATAACTAACTATGGTTGTATAGACTGATTTTCCTAACTACGTGCTTGCTGGGTTACTTTTTTTTGTTGTTATAAAGAGCTTGACCTGTCCTCTAAATTGTTTCTTTTTCTCATACCGTTTCATTGTTACAATATCTTACCGTCTCTTTCCATCAACTAACTCGGTCTCAGTCATTATTTCATAGTATATAGTTTAAATCAAACCTTTTTCAGTTCTTGATAATCATGCCAAACTTGAGATACGTTCGCCATACATCTTCCTCTGAATCCTCTGTCGAGGAATCAAACGCTACACCACAAAATCGACAGGATGCTCGCGTTGGTCTTATTGCAGAATACGGTAAGTATTGATTAAGTAAACATTCTAACCGAGTTTGAGGTTTATTCATCTTGAATGTTTTGTTACTTCTATTTGAATGATCATCAGTCAACATTCCTGATAAGACATTAAGCCCTTGCCATTTGAGCGAGTTAAAACGCACACGCGCATATCGACGCACATCGTACCTCAATAGAGCGGAACAGGACATCAAGAAATTGGTTCAAAACAAACGTCGAGAAGATTTCCGCGCATTGCGGGAAGCACTCTATCTGGTTTATACATACAAAGGACCTTTCCTTCAAACCAAGCAGGAGAAAACCCTCGCTGCCCTTTACCTGCGTAGGAAAGGATTAGGCAAGATGTTTGTTAATGGTTTCAATAACGAGATCAAATGGGAGTGGCTCAGCACTCGTGTTAAAGACATTAATAAGCAAGATATTACTCATACTCCTTTACATCATTTGAAAACACCCATGAGATTGTTATAGGCTTTATTTTTGTTGATTCCATATCGTTTTTGGTTTGACCTTTTGTTGTCTCTATATAGTTTCAGCTTATATCGTTTTAGCTTTTCTTTTCAGTGTTTCCATATTGATCTAGCTTGTAATCTACCATGTTTATGAGTTAAACAAGCTTAGTTCGTGCTCATTATCGATGTGTACAAACATACACGAATTTCGTTTGTATGTTTGTTTTTGAGCGATGTGAGCAAGATGGATAATGGATGATTGATCATCCTCGTTTGATGATCGATCAAACGAAGATGAAATAAGAGTTTGTACAAATGCAATGCTTTCATGTTTGTTGAAGACTTGGACAACAAATATAAAAAAATACCTACAGTTCAAAAAATAAAGGACAACATGAGATGATCAAGAAATTGAAACGAGCGACAAAGATTTAATAAAACAGAAATTATTCATATGTACACAAAAAAACAATGATAAGAAAGGAATACGTTAAAAAGATGAAAAAAAGTAATTAACAGGAGAATGAACAGCATCTACTCGTCATCATCATCAGAACCAAACTTCCTCCATAAGTGCTCAACCAGGTTATTGCGCAAGTTGACATGAGCTGCTTGTTTGCGGAAAGCACAACCTTCCATGAAACGATCAAAGGTGGCTGGAGGGCGTGGAAGTCGAGGTGGAGGTGGCACAGGTGGGTCAAATATATCAACATCATTTGCTCCTCGAGGTTCTTGGGCCTGATCCTCGACTATCATGTTGTGTAATATTATACAACAATTCATTATCAGAGCCATAGTTGAGGGCTGCCACATTCTTGCGGGACCTTTGATGATTGAAAATCTAGCTTGCAATACACCAAAAGCACGCTCAACGTCTTTTCTAACGGATTCCTGCATTTTGGCGAAAAGCTTTTGGTCAAACAATAACTAGTTAGAGTTGTGTCACTTGTGTAATATACTATGTATATAGAGATAATCACGTACCTCGTGCTTAGGATGTTGAGGACAAGAGAACGTCTTCATTAGAGTTGCCCACTCCGGATATATACCGTCAGCAAGATAGTAACCGGTGGTGAATTGCTGTCCATTTACCGTGAAACGACAAGGGTAAGAATTTCCCAAAGACAGATCTTGAAATAAGTTTGACCGTTCAAGTACGTTGATGTCGTTCAGACTTCCAGGTAAACCGAAGAAAGAGTGCCAAATCCATAAGTTGTAAGTCGCCACAGCCTCAATCACCAGCGTTGGAGAGCCGTCTTTGCCGGTGTAATGACCATTCAACGCCTTAGGACAGTTTTTCCACTCCCAGTGCATGCAATCCAGCGAACCGAGCATACCAGGAAACCCTCGCTCAGCGTTTTCGGCGAGTATAGTTTCCATATCTTCTTCTGTAGGTTTCCGTTGATATTGATCCTTGTAAGCTACAATAACTCCGAGACAAAACCGTTTAAGAGATTCAATAGCGGTGGATTCACCAATTCGAAGATACTCGTCTTGGGAATCCGCCGACATGCCATAGGCCAGTTGGCGAATAGCAGCTGCGCACTTTTGAAAAGGAGATAGACCTAGTTTGCCTATGTACAAACCATAAAACGAATAACAATAGTTAGCTTGGCCAGTTGAATATAACAATAAGAGCTTGAACATACCCAAAGCATCTCTTCTCTGCGTGAAGTATAGGTCACCCTCCCCCAACTTCTCCATAATACAAACAAAGAGGCGCCGACTCATTCAAAAACGACGACGGAACAAAAGTTCACCGTAAACTGGAGTTAAATTGAAGTAGTCCCTTAATAAACGGAAGTTTCCATCAACACAGTCTCTTGGAAGATTTGGAGATCTGCCTGGGTATGAGCCACCAGGTCCTCGTGGAATATGTGAAACAGCAAGGTAGTCCTGCATATCTTTGTTGTGTGATGCAAGGACAGCGATCAGTTCCGATGATAGAGCACTGATAACTACATATTGTGCGAAGAAAGAAGGATGAATGAACATTTGGTTTGGATGCATAGTGCGTAGAATTTGACACTTCAGACTCGAGCAAACAGAAAAAGCTAATGACACCAGCGCAAAATAAGAAACTTGACTTTGTAACAGGAAGTGATATGGAAAGAAGTTAACAAATCGAGGAGGAAAGTACTAAACAATCTTTCAAATACGAGTAATATGCTGGGTGTGGCTGTGTCAAGCACTGCACTGTAGCTCCTGCTCATGCTTATCTCCGTGACTCAAATAGTTTGGTCAATATTGATCATATACTTTCATGGTTATCACCGTGACCATACTACAAATCTTGTTGGATATTGATCATTGTATACTTTTATCAGTGCGAAAAACCGATATCCGATCATATACGATTGATGGGAAGGGGATCAATTTCTCAAAAGGTTTTAGTTTGGCAGTTCGGGCATGGCCAGGAGATTGAATCACCTCCCTCTCATTTGCGCGTTGGATGAACATTATTATGCAGGACGGATACAGCTGTCAAAATTTTTACAGCGAGTTTTTTTTGGGTCTGTATTCAGTTTACAGAACCGGGCGCGTTGGAGATGCTCTTAGCCGCAACGCAAATGTTTATAACTATCTTTGGTCGGAATAATTTTGGATAATTTTATAACGTACTTATGTAACTCGTTGTCCGTCCTTGCGACGGATAAAGGGTGTTCGATTTTGAGTTCACCTAAACTTGTTCCGGTCCCTCGATGGTGAGACGTGATAGTAGGCTGTCATTCTGACATTCGAGCAACAGCTGTCAATTTAATCAGTTGAATGAGGGACTTAGATAAGTTAAGTGAGTTCACCTTGTGCTAACTTCGAAGGGGTTGCGGAAGGCCGGAGCAGAGAGCCTGGCTCCCATTTTAAGACTCATGCGAGTCGGTAAATATATGTTCCCATACCCCAAAATTGACAATAAAAATGACCGAAATAGGACTGTACACACCGTTGTTACATCAACTCTTGATGTTAAGCATAGAGATTGGCACAGGTTTCCTCTTGCTTATAGGGCATTCCTGGGTCCTCTTACACCACAACTTTATAAATCATGGAGATAAGGAAAAAAACTGACACATGGACTCCTTTTCATCATCTGAGACATTAATTTGGGTAGAAATCTGTTTGTATTTATTATGGAAAACCCCAGCTTTAATTACATCGCTGTTGGTAACTTGTTATTAACCAAGTGGAATGGGAAAGTTGGATTGTTACATGTCATGATTGGGACCGAAACTGACGGGTCGGATTATCAATCTTATTCTCATCCTGTAGGTATGATGTCATTCCTGTTTGACCACTCTTCACCAACTTCCCATCGCGTTCACTTTCGTCGAAGTTTCCTATCTTCAATCTCAAAGTTCACCTTCTAATCGTTAAAACTCTTAGCAATTATCAAATCAAAGTTTTTTCATTGTAAAGAACAAGGTACTAAAAAGTTATCAATTTATCTAAAAACCGTTTTTTCTAAAAAATTGTCTCTAAAAAACCGTTATCCTAGAAACGTTTCATTTAAAAAACCGTTTCTCTTATAAAAGCGTTTCATATATCCATTATCTCAAACAAAAAACCGTTTCATTTATAAACCGTTTCTCTGCTAGCTTCCATCAATGAGCAATGATGATTCATACAATTACGAACAGGCTAAGATTGTGGCCGATAAGTTGGAAATTCTGTCTACAGAATATGTTTCGGGTGGTGGATCCAACACCAAGTCTATGGCAGAAATGTGATCTCTATATGCCGAGATTGTACCTTTCGAATCTCCAAACTGGTACCGTCAGTGGTCCAAGTTTGCCTCTGATCTTATTAAAAGTGATAAGGATCATGATCGTCCTATTTATATTAATGGAGGCCCAGCACCTACTAGTCCTATTGTGTCACAAGACGTTCCGGTTTATGTATTTGATCTCTCTTCTAATCCAACATTTCCGGAAGATATTATTATTGATAAAGAGAAAGATAAAAGTCAACATGGGAGTAACAGAGTATCTCCACAAGTTCATATACTTACTCAAGAAGAGATTAATATGGCTCAAGTCGCCAGAAATCTTCTGGATGAACAAAATGGTGGGAATAAACAGAAATCGATTCGTTCCAAATCTACTCCTCCTCATGTTGAGAAGAAGAGTCGACATTCAAAAAATCATAAAACAGATTGCGACTCAGACAGTTCAGAGGATTCCGATGATATCAAAAATGCTAAGAAGACAAAAAAATTCGACTGGTCTTCTAGAGCTGAAGCTGGTCCGAACTCTGAAGCATCCTATACACCAGGTGCTCTTTGGTTTTCTAAAGCTAAGAAAGGCTATGCTTCAAGTATATCTCTGGCAGTTAAAGGGTTTAACGCAAGTGTTAGACCTTCAGATTTTCCAAAAACCCTCACCAAAGAGCTTCTGGAGGGTGAATATATTGATTTACGTCGTATCAAAGGAGAATATCTGGCTAAGCAGAAGGGTTATACAGCTCCTCTTATTGTGGATGGCCGTGACAAAAATCTTTCTCTACAAAATAAAGCATTATCAGAGAAGCTCCTCGACACCCAAGAGTGGTTCTACTATTTCGACATTTTGCAATGTACTTATCAAGAGGCTTTTCCGAGTTGCTATGACGATTTCAAGCAATATGCGGAATTTATCAAGGAACGGTTTATGTCAGATGGAAAGAAAGCGGATTGGATGTGTGTGGCAAATTTTGATGCAGCCCTCCGTCGGAATTTCGCGTCAAAAGAAAACCTATCATTTGGTGACTTTGACCATAAGTCTTTATCAACATTATCTTCGAACTACATGGCAGATGCATACAAGCCTCAAATCCGACAACCAGAAGCTTCGACAAGCGCTAGACCGTATCAAGGTCCAAGCCGTCAGGCTTTGAATAAGCGGGGTCAATTCCACCCAAGATCTCAAAATTCTCCCTTGCTTTACGATCATTCCTATAAATACAAGAGTGGTTTTGGCGTGGAGGATACCAGAGGTGTTAAGAATGAAGCTGAAACGTATTGTTTCGCTTTCAATCTTGGTCATT